TCTAATGCACCCCAGGATGCCATTGGCCTCTAGCTTCTCTTACAACTTCTGTACTCAATTTTGATGAAGAGTTAGGGAATAAAGATGGAATTCCAGTGGTTGGGACACAAGGGTGCTGTGAAACTGGGAGAATTTTGTAGCTCAGTTGAGGTTGTATGGGTTTTTAAAAAAATTGTATGGTTTTTTTACAATTTTTTTGATATTGTATGTTTTTGAATTTTTAAAATTAAAACATTTTTTTAAATGTGTCTTGTCTCTTCAGCAGATGTGTGTTTTTGCGTATTTCATTGCCTGTGTTGTATGTCTGGTTGTCAGCACCATGTCTCACCACTGATGCTGATTGATGTGTAACATATTTAGCAGAACATGAGGTTAATGTATTGCCCAGTTCAGCCTCACTGCCTCAGTTTTCCTGACTGTCCTGCCTATTTTGTTTGTTGTTGTTGTTTTTCCTCTTCCTTGAGGGGCCTCTCCTGGCCATGCCCTGTAACTGCCACTGTATAAAGCCTGTTACACAGCAAGAGATCTTATTTGCAAGTATTTCATGAGGGCTGTGTTCTCTGCTAGCAAAATCTTCCCTGGGTAGAGGTCCTTTACATTACCTCACTCTCAGCTGTAAGAGAGTTCTGGCAAGCTATTTTAACTCTTCCCATCTTATTTTAATTAGAGAAACTGTAAATGAGATCTAGCAAGACCATGTTTTAACTTCAGCAGCTGACTGTGAATGCACAATGACCTTTGCAGCAGCAAATGTTTCTGGTGCTGCTAGCTAGCAGCGTTATAGTTTTGGTTGGGTTGTTGTCTTGTCTAGCAGGAAAAGCAATTGCTTGGCTTTCATCTGTAATATGGTTTCTTGTTCTCTTTGTTTCTTTCTCCTAAGGTGAATCATTTATCAAAGAGGCATCCAGACATGAAAATAGAAGAGGTGCCAGAGCTCACGTTGCCCATCATCAAACCAAACAGAGATTACTTCTGTCAGTACTGTGATAAGGTATGTAAGGAAGTTACCCCTCAGCGAGGAGCTTGGTCCTAGACCTATATGCAACCAATTTGTCTCTGCATAGAAACATCTGGCAGGCTTTGTAGCTTTTTTCTTTGAGGTGCTTGCCAGTAACATTTCTGCAGCACTATCCAAAAGAAATTAAGACACAATGCACTTAGGCCAAGGCAGCTGAAAACTGTGGTTCTCTTTTTCTGCTGTCTTTGGAGTGGGTAAAACTTAAATTACTATGATCCAGCAAGCAATCACCCACCCTTAGTCCCCACTTTTTACAACCCAGGGCTAAGTTTTCCATCTGTCTCTAATTCCTGAACACTGATTTATTTTGCTTTCTGTATCACTTCTAAAAGTTAGTCTTTAACTCCTTTTATTTTAAGCTGCTTATTTAGTCACATGCCAGTAATTCCCAGTGTTCAGTGGAGCCTGAAGCTTCTTCTGCACTGCCTTTGGGTTCCTGTTCTTACTCCCTGCCTTTGGCTTGTTATGCATGAGGGCCTTTAACAGGGCGTATATTTTGACTGACTGTTCTTATCCTCAGTACATTGTTCCATGATGCCTCTGTCCTTTTGTTTAAAGGGAAAAAAGGAATAGTTTTTTCTAATAATATTACAGAGTATTTGTTTGTTGATATGCCTAAGAAGTCAGAATTTAAAAAGATGTTGATTGCTGAAGGCTATTAAATCTGCTTGTTTTATGCAAGAGTGGAGATACCAACCTTCATGACAAATTAACATTGGACAAATTACAACTTTGGTGATCAGTGCCTTCTCTGACATTTGAACTCTTAAGTATCAGGCAAAAAAGGTTTTCCTCTTCCTTTCCTGTCCTGCTTTGATGCTTTTTTTCCTGCCATACATGTTCTCACATGGTTTCTGCATGCTATACTGATTAAACACTGGAAGGTATATGTATATTCATGCATTGTGTTGTAATTGTTTGGGGCTTTGACTAAACATTATTGTCTAAAGCAACATGCAGACCTTCCAGATAAAGATGATTAGTAGCAGTTTTCTGTGCTGACATTGGGATTACACCATTTTCATTCCAAATCTTGACCCTGCAGGTGTACAAGAGTGCCAGTAAACGCAAAGCACACATCCTAAAGAACCATCCTGGTGCTGAGCTACCTCCAAGCATCCGGAAACTGCGCCCTGCAGGCCCAGGAGAGCCAGATCCCATGCTGAGCACCCACACCCAGCTGACAGGCACCATAGCCACCCCTCCAGTCTGCTGTCCTCATTGTTCCAAGCAGTACAGCAGTAAGGTGAGGTGTTTGTTTCATAGCCTCAGAAGAAAGCATCTCTCTGGTGATGCTTTTTCATCGCAGTCTCTGTTATCTGTCAGACAGCAAGCAGAGCTCTTTTTGTGTGAGTCAGAGTGCTGGTTTCATGCTACGTGCTCACAACACAGGCACAGCTGCCTGCTTTGTTTTATGGCAAAAAGGTCCCCTACATAGAGGGTGTGAGCTTGAAAAAACAAACAGAAATGTTATCAGAGTGCAGTCACAAGCTTGGAAACTGCTCCCTGATAGTGAAAAGGGAGAGGAGTAGGGACACAAAATGCAGAGAAGTTGACTTCTGGAAAAGGTCCTCAAAAATATTTGGCTGTGTTGGGGTAAAAGCTTGCAGGCTGTGATGTCTGGGGTAAAAGCTTGCAGGCTGTGATGTCTGGGGCAATATTTCAGTTACAGGTAGTTCTAATCAGCAGCAGCTCGGTGATCCTTGTGTCCTCCTTGCTGACCAGAGCATCCCATAGTGTGAATCTTGATGCTGTCTTACTGAGAGAAACTTAAAAGCTGCAGTCTGCAGGGCTGTTTGAATTCAGTTGGCCTGAAGCAGAGTTGCTGACCATCTTTCTAAGGCTCTTTTACATCCCTCTGTAGACAAAGATGGTACAACACATTCGCAAGAAGCACCCAGAGTTTGCTCAGCTCCCTAACACGATACACGCTCCCCTGGCGACGGCTGTCATCAGCTCCACTCCTGCTGTTCTAACGACCGACAACACTACCGGAGAGACTGTTGTGGTAAGGATTCAAGACACATTAGATCAAGCCAATGGAGGGAAACAAAGAGAACAGAAGCCCTCTGGTATAGTAGTCATAGTGTTTATTTGGCAGACATCGTTTTAAAGGATGTGTTAGGACATTATTTGAGATCACTTCTGTTCCTGAATCTGTGTGTTGTAGTTTTGATTTGCCAGAAACTCTGTATTTCTCTTTTTGGAGCTCTAAGGGTTTGTCTTTTTTTTTTCCCCTTACTCTATTCCCTTCTTTCATTCAGACCCATATGCTCCTGACTCCACATCATTCTTTCACACACACCTAATTAACTCAGGAATACAAGTCTCGTGAATTTTCACCGGGGCTGTTCTCTAAAGGTGCTTGCAGTTCTTGGGATCAAGAGGACATGTTTAACCACGAGGACTGGATCAAACTGTTCAGAGGAGTCCAAAATCTTTCTGTAATACTTTAGACAGTGCAGAACTGAGCAATATGGACCTCCAGTGGCTCATCTCTCCGCTGTTAATCCATTCAGGTGCTACAGAAGTGAAAGCTGAGACTAGAAAATCAGTCTTGTGTCTTTTAGTGGTGCTAGGACGTTGCATAGTTTAAAAAAAAAAAACTTAATAACCACAGATTAAAACTTCCTATTTGAAGACTGAAACTGGATAAAAGACTCTTTTGCTTGAAAATGGGCAGATTCAAGCAGGATGCTTCGTAAACCTGGTTAGTGAGGAGCTAAATGTCTTTACGCACTTCAGACATAGTTGTCAAGAAAAGTATCACTCTGGCAGGTGGGGTAGAAGGTCGAATACACCTGAGAAGCACTTTTAGCTTTGGAAACTAAGTGTAAGTGTAGATTCAGTGTGATGGAAGAACAACAGCCTTGCAAAAAGTATTCAGTCCAGTAGACAATATGGGATGATGGTCTGTGTCTCTCTCTCTACCTGCTCAGACAACAGATTTACTGACACAAGCAATGACAGAGATATCCCAGACCCTCACAACAGACTATCGAACACCCCAGGGAGATTACCAGCGAATCCAGTACATCCCCGTGTCTCAGTCCACAACTGGCTTGCAGCAGCCTCAGCACATACAGCTGCAGGTTGTTCAAGTGGCCCAGGTGAGTAACTTGTGGGATTTGATGTGCTTTTGACCTCCTCCATATCAAGCTTGTGCATTCTTAGGGCTGTAGCACTTGGAAGTTTAAGGAATACTTACCAAAAGTGGTGCAGACTACTTTTCACAGAGAAATTAATAGATAATGCTTAGGGTTCCCATTGTAAGCATCGTGTACTGGGCATAAATAGTCCTGCCAGTCTTGATCAGGTTGCTGGAGACATATCAACACAATCCTAATAAAGTTCTACCCATCTGGGCACCTTTACTCGAGTCTGCTCTAGAAAGGTTTTCCAGCAACTGGAAAAGTGGGTCAGTGGGTGACCCATTTTTGCAGTTGAGAAGACTAATTTGTACTTCCTTGTTCTCAGTGAGCCAGAGTCAAAATTTGGAAGTACAGCAAGCGCTTGCTTTTTTCCCTTCGTATCATCTATTAGAATATTCATTCCCTATGATGCTCAACAGCCTCCTAAAAATAAAAACAGAGTGTAACTAGAGTAACTGAGCTGAGGGAAATAACTTGGGCAGCTGTAAGAAATCTCCGTAGCCTTCAAATCTATTATGTGCTGGGTGAAGCTGGAACTACTGTGTGTTTGGATTTGAATCTGAAATTCCGTGTTCTCTCTGGCCCCTCATTACAAATTAGGTTATGAATTTCGTTAATAAAGGCTAAACAGCAGCCCCAGTTAATGGGGCCACAGACTGTGGCTGTTCCAACAATACAAGAGCACGAATACTGATTCCTGCAGCTAATTTTATCAAGATCTGAGACTTGTAATTAAATTATTCCAATTGGTATCATTAGCAGGTGTTGCTCAAAAAAAATCCTTTAATCAGGAATACTCTGAGCACTTGCCTTGATACAGAGCTATGTCAAGCTACAGTATCAGATATGCAGATCTTGAGTTTTTATACATTTTATAGAAAGATGCTTCCAAAGAAGGATGGTCCGGTGGTTGACACTAATCCTGAATTTTCAGACCCTTTGATTTGAGTCCAGCCTCTGCAGCAGACAGCTTGTATGACCTTGGGCAAGTCCTTTCCATCGATACCACTGAGATGTAACCATCTGGGTGCCATTACATGTGTTAAGTGTATTTCTTAATCTCCCAGGAGTGCACAGAAGGTAAAACACAGGCTTGAACAGGAGTGCTCCATGGCCTGAGGCTCATACCTCATTATTCCAGACCTTGTATCATGGAAGAGGTTTACATAGATGTTGCTGCAAAGAATTTGAAGTATTTGATTTTTTATTATTATTTTTTTCCCACCCCACAGGCTACCTCACCTCACCAGTCCCAGCACTCCACAGTGGACGTTGGGCAGCTTCATGACCCCCAGACATACACCCAGCATGCTATCCAGGTGCAGCACATCCAGGTGACAGAGCCATCGCCAGCAACTCAGTCATCATCACAGGTATTTCACTCTTCTCTTGCAGATAATAGTTTCCCTACCAGTCTGCTCAGCTGGCATATTACATCTGCTGATGTAGGGGAAAGTCTTTTCTATGCAATTGAAAGAATTGCACATGAAATGACTCTCAAATGAACATCTGAGATAATTTGGTAGTTCCCAGATGTGTATGGGGGTGTTTTGTTGTGTTTTTCTTTGGGCTTCTTGTTGTGGTTTATTTTTCTAACAGTGTATAGAGATAAATGGCTGGGAGCAGACAAATTTGCAACTTAAATCATGTTAGACAATTGAAAGAGATAAATGGAAACTGACATTACTCAAATATTTGGAGTTCAGCTCTTCATGCTGTTGGGTAGCGTTTAGCTTCTCATCTCAGTTCTCTGCCACAGACTTGCAATGTAACCTTTGGCAAGCAACGTCTGTGTTTCAGTTTCCCCAATCTCTGCTTAGTAACCACAGAGTAAAATGAGAGAGAGGAGAGCTTTTCAGTTCTTGTGCTTGATATGCTGTAGAAACTCCCCTTTATTTATGTAGAAATGCCTTTATTAAGGTAAAACTTAATAAAAAACTTAATAAGAAGCAATGTTTGTAACAGTACAAAGATATTCAATACTCAGGACACTGAGAACACTTATTGTCTTCTTTTCCCCCCCAGGTTGGGGGTCAGCCTTTGAGTCCCTCCTCACAACAATCTCAGCAGGAACTCAGCCCCTCGCAGATGCAGACAGCTACATCTACACCAAACCAAGCCCTCCAGCAGCAGCAAGGGTCTTCAGTCCAGCACACATATCTTCCCAGCACGTGGAATTCATTTCGGAGCTATTGTAAGTGCCAGCAGTAGCTTTCACTAGTAGTCTGGCTAGTGTGTGGGACTAGTATGTGCTCCATTTCTCCAGCTACCAAATAGGATAGTATTTTCAGAGCTTGTTAAGCTTTGTGATTAATATTCATAGATATCTAAGAAGACAAACAGCTTTAGACAAATAAAAGTGGTTGTACTGGCTTTTCTACTGTACATCCATAATTATCTGATACCTGGTCTGGGCAGGCAGATTGCTCCTTATCCCAGAAAACTTGCATTCAGCAAGTGTCCATGTGTTGAATAGCAGCTTGTTCAAATTTGAATGGATGCTTGAAAGAATCATTGAAGATGAGGGTGACCTGAAATGATTTCTCATGTCCTTGCAGCTCTGGACAGTAGTTCTCTGATTTCTTGGGCAAGAACAGGATGTGTTTTCTAGGCATGAAATGCCAAATCTGTAGCTGCCATAATTCATAGGCCCGTAGAGTTTTACGGGGCTTTACATGATTTTTCTGCTCGACAACCACTGTTGTTTCAGGTTTGAAATGTTACTGACACCAGACATTATCTTTCAAAGTAGTTTTTGAGTTTGAATGAAGGTCTTGATCTTCCAATTTCCATTTTTTTAGCATCTGAGATTCAGATGATGACCATTCCCCAAGGCCAGTACGTGATCACAGAGACCGCTGTAGGTACACCAGTCACCACTGTCAACACAGGGCAAGTGAAAGCAGTTACTCAGGTAAGGAAAATAATCATGGCATATTATTTCAGATTAAAAGAATCAAAACAAATG